GGCGGGAAATGTTCAAATGCCTTCAAAAATAAGGAAACCGAGACAAATAAATGTTCATAAGGTACAAGTTATATTTGACTGTTTTTGTTATTCCAGTTAAACATGGTTTTTCAATAAGTTTGTCTTTTTTTAACAATTTAGAGCGGTATTTCTATATTTCGTTATAACGCGATTCTTTAAGTTTTGATGACGTCATATCTCGAAGACAACATCGGTGACCCCAATTTTTTTTTCGTCTAAAATATCTTAATAAGTATGATCTGTCTACATGCAAAATTTCAATGAATTATTATTAGTAGTATAAATAGTGTGATTTCCCTTTAAGTAGTGAAAACAGTTACTAGTGGAAGGTTTACCCGTGTAGAATAGGCACATACCCTCTTTAGCCCGTCATGTTTGGGCACTAAAACATTCGTAAGGTAAGCCTGTAGTATTTTTTTTTATTATTTTTTATCGCAGCTGCATTCACATGGTCAATCATATGTTGTATTATGTCACTCCAACACAGGTCCTTCTTGTACTTTGCAAAATTAATAACGTGTTGTTGGAGTTAAATAATCAATTGTAAACTTTGACCTTCTGACATGTTGACACTGATTAACTTAAACAAGTCAACTAGAAGGTCAGACAGGGTGGCATCGTTTGTCTTTTCTTTTTTAATTTTCTTTGGTATTTCTCACCATATTAATTCGCTTTTCAGTGTCATTACTTGGATAAAGTCCTTTCCCTATTAGAAATGTCTAACATTTGGTTGGCCTTGCAATACCATAGATAACACGTGCCGTGTCAGACATCATCCGGATCTGGAGCTGGCATGTCAGTAACTGCTAGTAGTCCTTTGTTAATTTATGTATCATTGTCATTTGCTTAGTTTCTTTTGTTACCTATTCTGACATCGGACTCGGACTTCTTCCTAACTGAGTTTTACTGTACGTATTGCTGAATGTTTGTTGGCTAGAGTTATAGGGGGAGGGTTGAGATCTCAAAAAACATGTTTAACCCCGCCGCATTTTTGCGCCTGTCCCAAGTCAGGAGCCTCTGGCCTTTGTTAGTCTTGTATGTTTTTTTAATTTTAGTTCATTTATATGTTTAGGAGTTTAGTATTACGTCCATTTTCACGGAACTAGTACACATTTTTGTTTACGGCCAGCTGAAGTCCGCCTCTGGGAGCAGGATTTTCTCGCTGGTTTTTTTACTCTTTGGTCGGGTTGTTGTCTCTTTGACACATTCCCCATTTACATTCTCTATTTTATTTTGACAAACCTAAGTACTACAACTCCAATGTCAACCGATGACCTCTCGATAAGTAAGTCATCCTTATTCAGAGTCTATAATTGCCTGAGTTATATGCATAGGGTCTCCCTCTGTAGTACCTCATACAACCATTTGTACCTTGATATAGCTCTTTCTAAACATCGATAAACTACTGTCACCTTAATTTGATTGGTTCAAGAAGACAATTAACTAAAACATTATTTAAATCGACCTTGAAATACTAATCATCATGCCTACTCTCTGTATCTATCAAACTCTCAAACGTTCCCTGTTAAATATTATAACATTTTGTCAAGGTGTGACCTCTAAAAGTTTCTCGAATTGAACACAGGATCGTGCTTGAACTGTGTGTTCTAGTGTTTACTCTTGAGACTCTCGGAAACTCTATTGTTGACCTTGTGAAGCCTGATACTTCCTGAACTCTCTTTTAGTGCGACCTATTATGGCACAAAAATAACAGGTAATGCCAGGTTTTGGTCTAGTTGCTTCTACTTCTCAATTCCTGCCTTTGTAGCTCATGTCGTCATTTCTTTAATGTTCGTCCGATACTTCTGTCTGCCGTCTAAGAGGGACACGATTTGGAAATTTCCTTCTGTGTCCTGAAGTGAACGCCTCATTGTGAAGGCGTGTCCTGACACTGTCACCAATATCGATAGTTTCTCATTGGAAAATGGCCCTTTGAAGATCCGGGTCCCCTCAAAAGACAATATAGCAATCACTTGCAAATTGTTCCCTCACTTCAATTGGTGCTGTCGGGTATACAAGTCTTTGCAGTCGTTGTATGTCTTGTGTTAACTCGGGGAAAAGATTGTTTTTTAACACTTATTCTATTTTTAATCTGTTCCCTATATAGTTCCGTCTAGTTACTTGGCTAAACACGATAAACTACACAGAAACTAGTTGAGCATAGATTCTTCTTTGGTCTGGCCTAATGTCGACGAGAGCTACCTGTGCTGATCATATAAGACTCATGGCTAGTTCGAGAGCCTTGATGGTATAATTCTATTACTGTAACGGATGTGCATTTCGACAATAAATAGCTCTTCAGTGATGCTTGAGGTATATGTGTTACACAACTATGAATCTCGGGATTTTTTTAAGATCTTTTAAACTTGGCAATTGAACAATAAAAAGCAACATTTCAGATGATTTGTTGTAAATTAAGATGACGGCATACCAATATGTAAAAAAGCCACTCACAAGGTACGTAGGTTTCAAGCTAGAAGTTAAACATTTTTTCTAGATTATACAAATCAGATGTTAACTTATTAAAATTCCTTTTGGCAATAGCAAATTAGAAATGCACCATGGTCAGATTTTCTGGTTGTTACAGAAATACGACTTAAAACACAAACATATTAGTATTCACAGGATGTATGCCTGTTAGTGTTCACAACTGTAACGGAGTACAGATTAAGTTATGTTTAAAAAGAGGCGATGGATACAATAGGAATATTCAAACTCTAAGTCGAAAACATTGCAAGACCGGAAAACGAAGATAAACAACAGATATAATACACAACATAGAAAATAAAGACTGAGCAACACGAAACTATTAATATTTAACACAATGTAAGTAGTGATAAAAGCAATATTCAAAGACTTATTACATTATAAGAATACAAGAATAATGTCAGATACATTTTATAAGAAGTTTATTCACAGGATCAATAATTTTGAATGGGTCGTTTCTAAATTCACGAGCTCTTTAAACAACCTCACCGTGAAAACGATGAGTTTTCTACAGGTACAGCAAAAAAAAAAAAAAAAAAAAACTCATCAAAGATAACAGGATTGAGACTTTGTACACCAGACATGCGTTTTGTCCGCAAAAGACTCATCAGTGACGCTCGATTAAAAAAAGTTAAAGAGGCTAAATTAAGAACGAAAGAGCATTAATGACCCAAAAACTTTGAAACAAAATGTTTGTATCTTTGAAATAATTTAGTAAAGTTTTACATAATTTGTGATAACGAAATCCTTATCTTGATAAATGTGATTAAAGGAGCATTACCGTCAAAAAGGGGAAGTAAACAACAGTGAAAGAAAAATCTTTCTTTTCGTCGTTATTGTTTGTATAAAGTTTTTTGTGTTTGTAATACTGAAATATCTAAATATAGAAAAAGGACAGCCATTGCTGTTTATTTAGATTAAATCAAAGTAAGTACCTTTGGGTAAATTTCTGTAGTATATCTAGGGATTAGTTGATTATTTAAGTTAACGTAAAAAATATCACCAAAGTTATGGTGAATATTGTTGCATTATCAATTAAATGTTATTAAGACTGATCTTTTCTGAGTTTGGCCATAAACCTAGATTCATAACAAGACAGGAACAAGTCTGCTATTAAAGAGATGCAATTAATGCCCACACGAATACTTCCGACTTGTAGATAAACTTTATTGCCGAAATTCTGAAGAGATGTGGTAAAGGAGAAAATCCAAAGCTTGAGTCATCACATCACACTACATATAAGTTTATCATAATATATATCTAGCCTATTAACCTTTGTTATTACAGAATAAGCTAAATATGAGTTGCAGCAAATAAATTGGCCATCAGATTTTTCAAAAGAACAGTTAATTAAATAAGAAAACTTTTGTTTAATAAGATTATACTCATATCATAAATTTTAATTAAGATCTCCAACATCTGGATAACAAGGAAAAAGAAGATAATAGAAGAACAAAGGATGAGGTACCCATTCATGACACAAAATCAGTAGATGCACAGCAAATAAAACACACAAAAAGCAAAGGAACAGCGCTTTTGTTACTGTTCTTCATCTCAGAGTTACAGTGAGGCCTTCAGCACAGCTAAGCTTATACTTTAGCAGTGCGTTCGATGCAGTACCACACATGCACCACTTAGGAAAAGTAGAGCATTATTGTATAAAAAGCAAAATACTTGAGTGGTTAAAGGCTTGGCTCATACAACGTTAACAGTATGAAGCATATAAAATTGAAACATCCTGAAACTCCTTAATGAAATAAGAAGTATCGTAAGGAACAACTTTTGCCCTTTGATGTTCCTTTTGTACATCAATGATATTAGCGATGAAATCAAGTCAAAGAATTTTGGCAAATGATAGCCTTTGACATTATATTGTTCTAAAGACTGCAATAAGTTACAGAAAGATTTGGACAAATTGGTTGACTTGGCATCTCAATAGAAGATGAAATTTTATGCGTCATAATGTTATGTATTCCAACAAGAAAATGCCTATAATGCATAACATTCACATTCACGGAAAAATTGTGAAAGATTAAGACCAAAACCGATATTTAGGAGTTCAGTTTACAAACACACTACTTTGTGACTAAAGCCAAACAAATCATGAGGCTACTTGAAAAGAAATATCAATAAATATCCGGAAGAAATTAAAAACGAGCATGTCATTTTTTTTCAAGGCCAAATATTGAATAAGCGAGCAGTTATAGATGAAACACCAAAATTTTAATCTGCACATATTAAAAGGTTTTATATTGGCGCCACAGTGAAGTACAGAAGAAGTACTCGTTAACACCCTTTGTAATTCAACAATGTTGATAGCATTTAGTTGTTACATGATTTTGAATTTGATTAAAGAATTGTATCTGGTTTTTTAATTTTTTTTGCAACTTAATTTTTTTACAATATTTTGTATCCTGCATTACTATTTTTGTATCAAGAGAGAACCCATACAAAAGCAACAACCGTGGTGATCAAAGCTGAAAGACAAACACTTCAATTTGCAAAGGTATTTTATTCGGATAAGAAAATTATTCAGTTATTTGGAGTGTTTATCTTTACTATATTCTACCAGTCCTGCATTCTTGAACATGCACATTCATTTCCGTTTCTATCGATTGTTGTTACCCAAGGACAGCACACGCAAATATAGACTAATGGTGAAGTAATGTGTGTATTGCCACAATCCGTCAGTATCCACTGCCCATTTCTTAGTTCCTTTCTGAAAATATCCATGAAATTGAACTAAATTATATTTATTATTGTAAAAGGTATGTATATTAATTAAAACATTTAGTGTTAGAAACAAATCATTTGTTAAAAGTAAAATAACAAAAATACCGAACTCCGAGGAATTCAAAACGGAAAGTTCCTTATCGAATGTCAAATTCAAAAGCTCAAACACAACAAACGAATGGAAAACAATTGTCATATTCCTAACTTGGTACAGTCATTTCATTATGTAGAAAATGGTGGATTAAACCTGATTTCATAGCTACTTTGTGAAGACTTTTAATTACAATTGAATAGTTTTAAAACTATTTCGGAGCCCTCGCTACAATCGTTCAGACAAAATTCTTGCTATCTTACATATTTCAAAGTAGTATAACAAGGTAAGCGTCACCCACTACGCATGCTTCGACCTCCTTGGGAATTCAGACTCGCTCTTTATTCATGGAGTTTGGATCACGTGACCTCGTTAATTTATATAATATAACCTCCTTTTTTGTAGATTGAAAGATATAAATTATATCAAGTTTGCGCAAAATCAAGTAATTTTCTTCTTGGATCAAAAACTACCATGTCCAAGAAAAATCCTTTTGGGGATATGCACAAATTATTCTGAAATTCTGAGGAAATGGCTTAAAATTTGAATATCTACGAAATCAGAAAGATGATATCATCTTGTTTTTAAAATATGTTAACCGAAAACTCAGCAATACTGGTTCATGTGGTTAGATACAAGTTGTTTGCCCGAATTAATTTAACTTCCAGGATGTTCCCTATATGCGGGCAAATCATGAAAAATCTCTTCTTGTATCTTTATTTGTATTTTTATTCTTGCTTTTTTACGAATTATATTAGGATTTATACTATGTTCAAGCTTCAAATTTCAAACTAAAAAAGCCAAAAGTTTTCAAGGTTTCTGTTCGTTTTTTAGAACAACTTACAATTTACCTATAAGTGAGAGGCGACAGATATCAAAGGGACTCATGAGTCGAAAATAAACTCACAACGCTATTGCAAAAAAGAAGAAGATCAAAAGAAAAACAACAGTATACAAAACACAACATAAAAGACTAATCAGCGCGAACTCCACCAAAAACTGGGGGTGATCTCAGGTGCTCCGAAAGTGTAAACATATTCTGGTCCACATGTGGCTCTAGTCGTGTTGCTCGAGTAAGTACAAATCCGGTGATAAGTCTAATTCGATAGGTCATATTCAGAAAAAGCGGAGGTTGGGAGTGTAGTTATGACGATTGAAACATACCCGTTGTCATCGGCAAAATCATATTTTTATTCCATAACGTGCCTTTATTTGCATCTAACTTTGGCATCATAACAAAGTCTAACAATGAAATGATTTCGAGAATATTGCCGAATAAAAATAAAGCATGAATAATGAACCATCATATATACCAGATATATAATTTACTACGTCTACAAAAGACTCATCAGTGACGCTCAAATCAAAATAGTTGTAATCAAGAGGATAATTATTAAGGATGTACTAAGGTGAGGTTTTGGAATTTGTGTCAGATGTTCGGACTCCTTGGTGTTTTTCTCTATGATACAAGGTAACATATTTTGCCCCATAACACCCATTTATCTTTTCATATAAGACTTAATAGCTCATAAAAAGTCAATTACCAATATTTAAGCAGATTCTTGATTTTCTTTAATTAGATTTGAGACCAAAATAATACCAATGCAAATATAAGGTAAAAGTCCGAGTCAGCTTTTTCCCGCCATATTTTAAAAATCAAATATATCGAAAAGGAACTCCATGACCTATCGATATTTTTAGCTTATTTTGATCCTTACCTAATGCTCTTCCGGCATATAGTATTAATTTTAAATTCTTGATTTATTTAATTTCACTTAAGTACATCCTTAAGTGTTACTTACGTTTGACACATTTTAAGATGATTGCAACTTCTTCCTGAATCAATACCAAAAATTGTCTTTGGTTTCTTTCCCTTGCATTCATTATTAAGCGTATTCATTTGCCTTTTAACACGACCACCTGAAAAATTATGTTACAATCGATTACAGTTCTTTCTTACATTTTATGGTACCGATCTCATACGAAAACATTTTGGTTTGCAAATTTAGTTTAAACTAAAGGACACAGAGCATTTATTGCATTAACAAAAACTCAAACCCTTTTCGTACTTCTATTTAGATTTATTACACCATAGATTTGTAACACATTAATCATTCTCGCAATTCAGCTGGTCATTCGAGATTTAATATAGATAATGACCTCTTAAATTTAGTGTAATATAAAGAATTTCTGAAAAAAGTATGATTTAAAAAAAAAATCACTTTTTGTTTTTACCTGCAGAACCTGTTATATTTAATATTTCAGCATCTTGTGGTATCTTTTTCTCCATATACACAGGGTATTTAAAATCCTGATAAAAATCTTTCAAAGCCCCTGCAAGAAAATTGACATCAATAACTTCATCCAAATTTACATAAAACATTTCCTTCACCACTTCTTCGTTCTCACTATTGATGGTATTATCTCCTTTGTTCTGTAAAAAAAAAGAGTTTGTGATTATTCGAAATAAAGCAATATTATTGTGGAGTTCTGAAAACGTTTTTTTTTAAATAGTGATTTACTGAGTTGATATTTGAATGGACCAATGTTTTGTATTGCATATAATTTGTACAGATTTTCGATTTAAACTATCAGTTTTGTTGCAGATATGCAATTTGTTTAGGCTTATTCTACCTAATCTTGTATATAATGAAAATAATGTTTTTTTTTTGTTTTTTTTTATTTGGTGCGTTCGAAGGGCTTTTCTGGATTTACTGTCAATGATCAGCAATGCCGAAAACCTAATTTTAAAGGTGGGGATGTATTAATGAATATGACCAAAGTGATCGAAAAAGAATAGCTAGAATATTGAAGGCCAGTTTTGACTTCGGGAGTTCAAATACAGAGATAAATTTTTGATTAATTAAAAGAATTTAAAAAAAAATGCTTCATAAGTTGAGATAACACATTAATTAGTTATATAAAAGATTGCTTTTAAATCTGTGTTAATTCTTTTGTAAAGATATAACAAAGAAGACTTCTTATTGCATTTGTAAAAAAACAAAAACACAACCATAAGAATAACAGTTTGCATTTAATTTGCAAATAAAGTTAATTTTATATTAAAAATGAATAAAAGAGTTGTGGGTGTAAACAAATGAGACAATCATCCATCGGCTGATAAAAATACCACAAAAAGGTCATGAGGGCAATACCAGTATGCAATCAACAACAATAGAGAGGTGTCTTTACAATTTTTCAAACTCTAATTGTTCTAATATAAAATGAGATGTGGTATGATTGCCAATGTGACAACTATCCACCAAAGTTCAAATGAAGTGAATGTAAATAATTAGAGGTAACCGCACGGCCTTCCAGTCTATAAAATTAATAAATGTAGCAGAAAAAATCCAAAAATTTGCTTGAAGTTGGCTTGTTTCACTTGTTTAATTAGTTTTTTCATTTGTTCAAAACAAATCATCATTTAATGTTCGACAAATGATGAATGCAAAAAACTTCATCTATTTATGTTTTTGGTACAAACTGGATTAAGTATGTTGAATTTTAACACAATTAAATGCATCTTTCGAACAACATTATGCACACCAACATTCGAATCCATTTTCATCCCTTTTAGACTTTATCGAATGGCTGCAAGCATGCATATGAAGACTTGAAATATGACTGAGGTTTTTTTTCAAGATTCTGATTACCTGACAAATATAACATTTTAAAATAGTGTGCATATATTCCATACCCAGCTGTGAATAAATCCCTCTGTAACTTGACCAGCATCTCCTGCTGTTGCCCTGTCTATGTCCCGGAGTCTACATTGTTCCAAGGAAGGGAGACATTTCATCTGCTGACCCTGTAATGAAAACCTACTATTTCAAAGAATAATTAACCATGTCTAATATTAGGTCGTGTATAAATTGAATTATTTTTTAGGTAAATGATCAATTTTCAATGCATAAAAATTAACATTCGGCATATCAATCAACACGCATAAATGATTTTAGTCACCCAAAAACGTAAATTATTGGTCACAATCTATAACTTTAATTAACAAATTTTCTCGAAAACTGCAATTCGTTTTTTGACCTATTCATTTCACTCAAGGAAGTTATTTTATTTCAACTAATGGTTTTAACTTTTTGCGATAAATATAGAATGTATTTTCCTTTGTTCAAATGTGTGACAAAATACTTCATAGAAGAATTGGTATAATTAAGTGTAACAAATTGGATACTGAATTTATTTATTTTCTTATGTAACCAAACAAAGACTTTGATTTTCTGAAAGCGTTCTCGCTGAAAGTAAATCCAAAAAACCATTTTGGAACATATCAATTTAATAAAGTGTTATTTTCATTTTTTATCATGTTGATATGAACACTCTTTTTATGTTTTATTTCAAATTGTATTCTTAAATGTTTTATATAATCACGTTTTTGTCAGTGTATAATCATTTCCTTCATATATAGGAAAATGTATACAACATTAAAAATGAGTCCGTTGACCTATAATAACTTTTTAACTAGCACGAGGTGAAATGCAATTTGGCAAACAATGCAAATGGTTTTCATATATTATGAGTTATAATTATAATGACTGAAACAAACAGAAAACATAAATCAAAATGAAAACATTGTTATCCGCATTCAGTGTTGACTTCAATTATAATTTTAAAAAGATAAGATGACGCAAATCTGTGAACATCCTTTCTATAAGAATGTCACAATATGCCAATTTGTTTTTCTTTGTTGACATATTTTTTTGTTTTTTTTTCTTTGTTGACATATTTTTTTGTTTTTATAGTGATTAGGATTTAAACACAATGGTGACTGCTGTACCCCTTTTTTTGACCTTTTCCTTGGAGTTCGGTATTTTTGTTATTTTACTTTCACCACGTTTAATTGTGTAATTAAGGAAAGTTTTGGCAACAAATTAACATTCAAATGCATAAGTGTTGTTGTTTTTACAAACCTGACGGAAATCCTGAATTTGGTACGATTCCATAACATCATTGTGTGCTGGGGTGTGAATTTTAACTGTATTTTCTGCTAGATTTGTCTCTATGTTTTCCATAAATCTGGCATTACCTTCAATAACGTGATAACCAAATTTCTACAAAAAAAACAAACACAGCTATTGCGTATTATAAATACTTTAAAACATTCACACAAACACTAAACATGTCAGAAAAGACAATAATAACGTATTGAATTTAAAGCAAATGGTTAAAGAAAACAATGACAAAGAAGGCGAAGCAAATTGAAATCAAATCTAGGTCACTAGAGTGTTCTTTTTGGTTTTAAATAGATAATATTAAAACAAATGCAGTTTATATAGGCGAACGGGAACCATTGCATGATATTTCAAAACAATATATCGTATTTCTACTTATACTGCAAAGCTTACAACTGTTTCAATTGAAAAAAAGATTAGGTAACCAATCATTTTTAAGAAGCTATATTTAATTGACGTCACAAATTAAACTGTACGAAAACGCATTGTAAACGCATTGTAAACGTTGTAAACAAGGCGATTTGCGGTCATTGAAAGTATATCACAAATGACTTAACGGTCAATGGAATTTGACTGCAAATAGCACAGTAACTGTATAAACTATCCGTCGGAAGTATCGGGAGATAAGTCAATTCAAATGATACAGAAAGTACGGGAAAATGTTTGCTTCCAGTTAATAATTAATATCCAGTAAATACACTGCAGAGAAAACCGAATATCGAACAGCAGAAACACCAATAACAACGAGGTGTTGCTCCGGTAGGGTAAGTAGAGCAGAATGTATGAATACAACTAATGCAAACAAACAATTTATATAAGTCATGCATAGAAGTTATTCTTTTTCTGACAAAGAAATAAACATACCATATCCATATCGGCCGTGACAGCATAAAGGAATAAAGCATTAATCAAAATCATCAGTAAAAAGTCCATTGTTGATTTCTGTTAAAAAAGACATGAGGGAAAACAAATTATTATACAATACTTTTATCGTAAATGTATAACTTTTATGTTATCAAAAAACAACTATTTCCAATTGAATTCTAATGAAATGCTTTCTGATAACAGAAAATTATCCTAGCAATTAAAGGTAATTTCAGAAATATATTAAAGTAAACTCATACACCATCTTCTTATTTGCATACCGATAGAGTCATGCACGAGTTAAAAAAATTGCAAGGTGAATATTGTATTGGAAAAATCAAATTAACTACTATTTAAGATCGTAAGCGAAAGTTCTAATTTTGTTTGATGTGTTTGAGCCTTTGATTTTGGGATTTGATAATGCACTTTCCGTTATGAATTTTCCTTGAAGCTCGGTATTTTTGTTAATTCACTTTTTACACCTCATTAAATGCGGCAAGTTTACTTTTTTTACTCCAAATGTTAAACAAAATGTTTTTTTGATATCGAAATAGATATTTTCATATTAATTTTGTCTAAATAAAAATTCAAACAATCAACTTTATGAATGTGAGTTTACTAATGTTTATATTTTTCGATTAATTTAAGATGATTTATGAACTTCAAGTTCAATAAAACAATGAAAAAGTAAATTAATCCATTCAATTCATGAGCTTAATATTCTAGTAAATATTATTTTTGAAATTTAAATCGCTTACCTTTTGCAGTCTTCTCACAATGTTGTTATGGACGAAGCGTTGCCGCTTAAATACTATCCAACCAGGATGCGAAAAAACTTGTTTCCAAGAACATTTGTCAGCTAGAAAATACTTGTTTTCCACTAACAGTATGCCACGTCTGTGTGTAGGAGTTCAATTGACAAGATGTCAAGTGAAATCAAGTGGTCATAAGAGATTGCGATCAGGAAGATCGTTTTAAATGTATTAAGATTTAATAGCTTTGTACTACCAAAATTGCAATTTTCTACATTTAATCAAACGGCAATAAACTGTTTATTACTGTCAAACACATGTTATTACTGACTAAGTGAAGCAGCACGGTTTTTGACTGTGTTCGTGTTTCTCAGTCTTAAGTTTTCTATGTAGTGTTTTATTGACTTGCTTGTGTCTTTGTCGTATTTTGATAATATAAATATAGAATAACTAATCAAAGAATTCAAATAGAAAACAAATTCAACGAGTGACCAAACAACACATTAATTCACTAATGTGCGTAGCGCATGAGTTAAATATCAGTGTTGTTCGGTCACGAGAATATTTTTCGATATTTGAATTCTTTGATTAGTTATTCTTTTTATTACATTGACAATGGGATTTTTAGTAGAATTAAAGTAGAAAATGTAAGGAACTATGTCTTTTTCTGCGCATTAACAGTTGCTTTGATGCGACGTCATCGACAACGTCTTGACTACACTTATTTTTGTATGACGTCAGAGGAGTGAAATAACAGAGTTTATTTCACATGTGAAACTTCGTATTGTGCGGACATTAAAATGATATTTTCGGCGTTCGAAAAGTTTTCTACAATAGTTTCTTGCTTTCATGTCCCGTGTCAACGAGAGAAACGTTCCAAAAATGCTATCACTCGAACAAGTTGGGTCTCGTTGGAGAATCGATGGAATCTGTCAGTTCCGATACCTTTACACTCTGGTTTTGCATTGGTCTTTGCTACATTTACGGATTTCTCCATCGTCCTACTGATCGATTAGTTGATATTCGTACTCGAAATTTTCTTTCTGTTATAAAGAAAGAAGTTGTCTTGGTCGCAATAACCATTTACTGTCATACAAATGTTGATCCTTGCCCTAATAATTATCGCCCTATTTCTCTTTGGAATATTCACATGAAATTTCTTTCGTACGCCAAAGCACAACGATTGAAAAAGATCATATCAAAGATTATTGAAGGAGATCAGACTGGATATGTAAAGAATAGATTTATTGGTTTTAAACTTAGACTGATACAAGATATTATTGATTACGCTTATTTATACAAAATTAAAGGGGCAATAGTTTTTAGTAGAATTAAAGTAGACAATGTAAGGAACTATTCTGCGCATTAACAGTTGCTTTGATGTGACGTCATCGACAACGTCTTGACAACACTTATTGTTGTATGACGTCAGAGGTGTGAAATTACCGAGTTTATTTCACATGTGAAATTATCGGTTTTTATTTCACTTGGAAATCACGGTAAATCATTGCAAGCAATGTAATAAATTCATTTATTTATTTATATCATATTTGTTACGAAAACGTTGGGTTCTGCATATGCAATTAACGCAGATTTGCCCTAGTCATATTCCTGCCCGGAGCAATTAACCAGTTATTGTGCCTGACCTTTTAAGACGTCATAAGCTTTCGGATCAACAATGACGCACGGAGAAGTTGGGTCTTGTTGGAGAATCGATGGAAACTGTCAGTTCCGATACCTTTACCCTCTGGTTTTGCATATGTCTTTGCAACATTTACGATTGCACGGATTTTTCCATCGTCCTACGGATCGATTAGTTGATATTCGTACTCGGAATTTTCTTTCTGTTCTAAAGAAAGAAGTTGTCTCGGTCGCAATAACCATTTACTGTCATAAAAAGGTTGATCCTTGCCCTAATAATCATCGCCCTATTTCTCTTTGGAATATTCACATGAAATTTCACTAAAGATTATTGAAGGAGATCAGACTGGATATGTAAAGAATAGATTTATTGGTTTTAAACTTAGACTGATACAAGATATTATTGATTACGCTTATTTAAACAAAATTAAAGGGGCAATAGTTTTTAGTAGAATTAAAGTAGAAAATGTAAGGAACTATATCTTTTTCTGCGCGTTCACAGTTGCTTTGATGCGACGTCATCGACAACGTCTTGACAACACTTATTGTTGTATGACGTCAGAGGAGTGAAATTACCGAGTTTA